ATATATATATATATATATTATTCATTATTGGATTTAAATGAATTTCTATATATCGAATATATTAGCATTAATATTTTATATAATTCGATAAGAATCTATTCATTCTGTCTAATTTCGATGATATTCAGAATGAAATTATATTTTCTTTTCATTAAATATCGATTTATATATTTCTAACAATGACATCATAACTCTTTGAATTAAAATGATTAATATTCTCTAGATTTTTTCTGATTATTTAAAACCTATTATATAGATAGAGATCTATCTATATGTATATATATATCTCATCATTAAAACGATGCAGATTATATGATATATTTTCATATATATAATTGAAATGATTTCTCGAAATCATATCTGTATATGATGAAGAGATCTATATTTGATGCTTATATTTAGCATATCGAAAAATATCTGAATGAGATGGATTTCAAGAAGAAATAATTTAAAGATATTATATATGATAAAGCTTTCGTGATTATTCATGATACGAATATTATCATGGATCAAGACGAATAAGATATAGAAAAATATTTCGGATAAATTCTCTAATAAAATAATATCGTATTGGGCGTCTCCACTTTTCGTACGCGCCCATGTAACCTCGCCCTTTGGCGCGTTTTTATTTAAAAGCCTCTTGCGTGTTCGTCTCGCAGTACTAAAATTTCGGAAATTTAGTACCGCGAGCAGTTTTGTCGGTACTAAAATGACAAAAGTTGTGGTAGTTTTGGGAAATTTTCGCGGTATGAAAATTTCGTAATTTTGGTGGCTTTAGGGAGACAGGCTCCCGGATTTTGAAATTTCCGAAATTTGCGGTAGGCATGCTCGCGGTCATAAAATTTCAGAAATTTTTGGGATATGCTCGCGGTAAGAAAATTTCCGAAAAACTAATATCGGGAGCATGTCCCAAAAAAGACGCTAAGAAGAGAAAACGTATCCGATTTTAGCGCCGTTCGAAAAGCACGCAAGAGGCTTGAAAGAAGAAGCACATCAAGATTTAAGTGCCGAAATTTCAGTGCCGCGAGATAGGTACGCAAGACATTTTCACGAAGAAACGCATCAGGATCTTGGTAGCACGAGTTTCGGTGCCGTTCTCTCTGAATGCGGGTGACGATATGTGTCTCTTGGGCGTCTATACGTCGGTCTCCGTATTTGTTTTTGGCAAGTAGGAGCTGTTTTAGTTGAGTGATCAAAAAGCATGTGTGGACAGCCACTGTGTCATTGGATTCTCTGTCTGTTCGTTTGTCTGTCTGTCTGTCGGGCTGTCTGTCGATCGGTCTGTCGGTCTATCTCTCTATCTCGCTATCTTTTTTATTTATCTCTCTGTCTGTTTGTTGCTCTATCTCTTGTTCTATCTCTGTCTCTATCTGCCCCTCTGTCTATCTCTGTGTCTATTTTTCTGTCTGTCTCCTTGTCTGTCTCTCTGTTTGTCTCTCTGTTTGTCTGTGTCGTCTATTTGTCTCTGTGTGTCTTTATATCTCTCTCTCTCTGTCTCTGTCTGTCTATTTTTGTCTCTATTTATTTTTGTTATCTCTATTTATTTGTTTGTGTATATTTGTGGCTCTCTATCCGTGTGCGATTAATTTCTTGTCTATCTGTAGATATTTAAAAATGTCTATGTCATTGTGGCTATAATTTATGATTTCAAATTGTTTGTATGTGAGTCTCGTTACTTGATGGGAGCTTAATATAATGATTGATATTGCGAGATGAGCATATCGAGTTTCTCGAGCCTCTTCTTAAATATTATATCTTTCAGATTTATGTGGAAGTAGGAATTTCGATCATTATTATTATCTATATCGGGGCCGTCGTTTTGGGTACCTCAGAAGAGCATAGCGATGATTTTGGGGGGTCTTGTCTGTCGTCCGAGCATATTGGAGGGTCGTAATTTGGGATCTATGATTATATTAATTATGAAGATATAGAAATTATGTGCTTCATCTCATGGGTATGATAGTTCCCGGCGACGAATATTCTAAATCATGAAAAGTCTTGAAATGATATGGAATCTGTGAAATTCGTGGCCTGTCCGAACGATCGTAATGACTATAATAAATAGGGCGAAATCTATGTTGGATCTTACGAGAGAAAGGGTCTCGTTAATATATGGGTGGAACTTATCGGGCAAATTGGTTCCAATTAGTATTTTCATACACCTGGGAATAACGAGGTATCCGCCACTTATTAGAGCCTTGAGAAGAAAGGGGCGGAGGAGAATCTGTGGAGCTGAGATGATAAATTCGAAAGGATTTCTGTCGGGTCGGGGTGCATGAATTGTACGGAGCTATGCCGGAAGAGAAAGATATTGAATTTAAACAAAAAGAAAACGATTACGAGAAAATATAGATTATAGAATCGAGTTAATAATATCTAATTTTTGCAGCTATGTCGGTCCGTAGCAATGAAATCAGAATAATTCAATATAGAAAGACAAGATCTCCGATTGGGATGATGGGCAAATATGCCAGGGTATAATCGAATCGCGCTGTACCTGCTCGGATAAGAAGAAGACATAGATAATATATCGATAATAATCCGATTCGATCTAATCAGCGACAATATTGAATTCGATTCGTAATATCAAATATGAATCGTCTCTATATAGAATAATAAGGCACGACTCAGATAATGGATTTATGATATCGTATTCAGGATCTAGCGGTCCAAGATAGATTTAGTCAATTCTTGCATCAATATGAAATGAGAGCGATGATTTCGATCGATCTGCAAGACGGAGCCATAGAGATTCGATTAATATTTTAATGACCGTATGTAGCATATATAGATTCGTCGATTAAATCCGGAGGAGAATGGTATAATCGTAGTTGACGATATAGAAGAGATTGGATACCCGCGGCGAATTAATATAAGATCCAAGAAGAGGTCGAAAGGTCCGATATAATTAATATATGAAGACTTAGATCTAAAGATTAAATCCGATCAATATCTATATATATATATTTTTTTTAATATAGAAAAGAAAATAAAAAAGAACAAGATCATAGGCTCCTTGTGGACTTTTAATAATAAAGAGATTCATCTCTCTTTATTATCAGAATATAGTATATCGGACTAGTTCTGCGTGAAGAGAACGAAAGGGATAATAATAACGACTCGGATTGCTCTTGTACTCTTGGCGGCGCCTTCGTTCCTTTCGAAATCGCGCGGAGAATCACGAGATTCATCATATCTATTCGGGCTGCGAAGGACCATTCGTGCGCGGGCGCGAATGCGTTCCTATTCGCGATCCGTATCTTCGTCGTAATTTCCGTGAAAGGGAAGGATTATAGAAAATTAGAATAGAAAGTAATAAGTCGACCACTGCTCGTTATCAAAAGTCTAATCAATAGAGAATAATAAAAAAAATATTTATCTCGATATAAGTTTGATCTATATAGAATATCCTACGATAGAAAACGAAGTCGATCATTATAATAGATCGTCAGTAACCGAATCGAACGTTATTAATCTCAAAATATTCAGAGTTATAAAGTAATCGTAGAGATGTTAATAACGGATTTATGGCTAGAGATAAAAGATAAATATAGCAATATCCGATCGAATATTAAAGTAGCTCGTATATATACAGAATATTAGAAATTATTCTAAATATATATTTTTAAATATTTTTTTTATATAAAAGAATTATCCTAGAGTAATATAATTTGAAAAATAATATTCTATTCGATAGAAGAAAATAATTACTAATATAATTCTAATAATATTTCTAATTATAACCGAAAGGGAAAAAAATATATCTTTTTTAATTCTTCTTAATTCTAGATCCAAGAAAAAAAAAATCAAAATAGAAATATATCTATATCAATGTTATCCATAAATTCTCTTATTATGTCTATAGATTTTGCGATTTTGACAAAACCGTCAAATAAAGATCTTTTAAGAACAGAGTTTGCAAACACGCACCCACGTGTAAATAATTGCTGCTCGGGCTTTCAGACAAATGTTCTTACGTTTGCTTCTTCCCAATCGCATGTTCTTTTGACCAGAAGTTTTGCCTAGAGCCGTTTCTTTTCTTGTGTAGAATCCGTGCAGAAAATTATATTGCACATTGTGAGGCAAGCAGCTATGTCGGTAACCAACGACTACTGAGACTGTTAGCACAAAAATGTTGTTGATTTTTCTATTCGGCCTGAATAGCTTGACTTGGCTGATATTATGCAATCTGCGCTCTTTTTTGGCGTCAATCCTCGCCAGAAGACATGTCTTCCTGCCACAGATTCGTCCAGTCAAGACAGGACTCATGACGCGAAACAGCAAAAGAGTATGCCACACCTGCTGCATCTGCTCGCGAAGGACAGGCAGCTGCGATATCAAGTGCGACTTCTGCCTCGGCCCAAGATCCTGCAAGCTTCGTGAAGCCATCGCAGGACCCGCAAAACAGCAGGGTGCAGGTGTTGGGTACTGCAGGGCGGCTGTCCGAAGCGTCAGATCGTCTCGCAATCACATCACAAACGCCAAGCCGGTTGGACCTGGCACACTGACATGCCAACACGATGCAACCAGGCCTCTAGATAGGACATCGTGGAGGACATGGCACGCCTGTTCCAGAAGCGTCGTGAGATCGTGGTAAACGGCCTGGGGAAACAAGCTGAGCATCTCTATCAAAAATCAGCAGGAATGATCATGTGAATCATGTGCAATGTGTGCTAGATTCTGCATCGTCACGCATTAAGCTAGGGTCTCAAGTGCAACGCTGCACTGCCACCAGCCAGCCGGGACGATCAGCGTCTCGCCCGGCCTAGCTCACGCCCAGACGGCCACGTCTGATGAACGGATCCAAGGCCGAGGTCTGAGCTCCAAGAGAGCCACGTAGCATTGACTGTCTTTGAGTCTGCACAAGTGCAACACTCCACTCCGAAGCGATCGTGCGAGACTACACATTACAAACGTGTGCACCTCTGGCTCGATGCAAAGATGTCGACCGAACCTTCGCAGAGCACGGAGAAAGACTTCTGGCGCACATCGGAAGAGCGTTCCAAAGTCTGTGATCAGTTCCCTGCTTGTACGGCTCCGGGCGTGCAAATCCACCTCCAGCTTCATGCTCGAGCGTCCGGGGAATCGGAAGCTGCTTCCACTTGGCGCCCAACTCCGAGGGTCTGCGCAGGCTGCTTCTCCAAAGTCGCGGACTCCTGCGCAATCGGAACAGGACACACGTGCGTAGCGTGGCAGGCAAGGTCTGGAGCGCTCCAAGAACTTCGCATACTTCGCAAATACTGACATGTGCTGAAGCACGCTGCATGCTGCTACTTTCCTGCGTGGCAAAGTCCTGGGGTGCGAACAAGGCGAACATCCGTCTTCCCTGGATTTGAGCATGCCAGACGTGCGCCTGCAGAGATCTCCGGCAAACTCAAACCCCGCCGAGAAGGCACCGAAGACCGAGGCTGCCACAGAGCAGTCTTCTATGTACGGCCTCACGAGCATGCCCGGCCTGAGTAGAAGCGGCATGAACCTGTCCTGTCACGGCACAGAACCCCGTGAAAGCAGCTGAAGCCAGGGCGGCCCGAACTGCAGTGTGTCCTTGCGGAGAGCTTGGGAACTGTGTGACTCAAGCCTTCAACCGCCCGTCCTGTTGAGCAAGCTCCGGTTCAAACAGGAGCCCAACCTCTCAGGAGAGGACTTCGAACGACGAAAACAGCCCGAGCCATAGCTCAGTGCAGCGCAGCGAGGCAGCACATGTCAAACCACTTGGCAGATAGATCCTTCGAGGATCTCTGAGAGACCCCCAGGACATGACGCTCACTCACCGTCAGAGACCTGTCCTTGAGCCCTGGCGGACCCCAAAGCTTGCGGCCAGACTTGAGGTCCTGTCGCTGGCTTGCTGAGGCGGGTTCTGCCTTCATGTTTGCGGCCTGTTCCCAGAGAGGCTTCAGCTTTGGAATGCCGAAAGGAGACCTGTGAAGGCCAAGGATGCTGAACAGCCAGCAAGCAAACGACTTCGTGACCTGTTCTTACAAGAGCATTCCAGCGGCTGGCACGCGGACCAGCATGCGAGGTAGCGAGGATATGCCAGATAATTCTCCTGCAGCAAGCACTCGAAGAGCCAAGAACCGACGCTCGCAAACACTCGCACTGCTGTCCTCTTTGCACTGTGGATCCATATCCCGAACCATGTTCACATACTTGGCGAACTCGTCCACCCTAGCCTGGCAATGCAGCCCAGGACGAGAGGTGGCAACCAATCTCATGCCGAGAGCACCCGCAAGCAACGGCCATGGCTGGCATCTGATCCTGCAGTGCCTCGGCACACGAGACGTGGATCTTGCTTCTGCTTAGAAATCCCCCACTGTCGTCTGGGGCCCCGTCTTGGAGGATAGCGTCTGAAACAGTCGCAGGCTGCCTGAGATGCAGCTTGACTTCGTTGGCTCCGGGACGGGCCAGCTACTCGACACATGCTGCGGCCTGTCCACATTCGTAGCTCCAGTACGCCATGCCCCAGCTCCTGAGTACAAAGTAGACGGCAAAGCACTTGCACATGCTCTCGCCTGTAGACACCAGCTTCACCTGGCCCATTGTGGTCTCCCCGCGTCCTCATTTTCCAGCCCCGCTGCTTCTCGATGCCTGGCACAGTCTTGCTGCACTTCCCACCAGTACTACGACGACGACAGCTGCCAGGACGACCACGACGACCAGGCAAAAACGCGCAGAGACCACCAGGTCAGGACATCACGCCCAAACTACGCAGGAACACAGCCTCAATGCTCTGCCAAGTAGATGATTCTGGAGCACACCATGATTGCCCCCAAGGACTGGGTGGATTCGAGAGCACGGCCAAAAGGCTTCCCCCACTGATTCATGAGGCTTTCAGGAGCACCACCATGCTTTCCCCGAAATACTGAAAGATTTCGTGGCAGAAGGGTGACGAATGTTTAGGAAGTTACAATGAAACTGGCTTTGCGGCACAGATCCTGCGCAAAAACTGGACGAGTGCACAATTGTGCCCGCCCCCAGTGGCAGCCGAGAACCTCACATCACGCACGCCTCGCGGTCACACTAACCAGTCGTCCTTGCTCTCAGCTACCACTTCTTATGTTTCGGCGGGCGGAAATCCCGAGAAGGCCTGGACGTACTTACAACGCGCATGCCCCGGCGATTCTCAAGAGCGCATGTCCACCATGTCGTGGAAAAAGAGATCGACGGAGCAGTCTGCCAACTAATGAACTGACTGAGCTGTGTGCATACGGGGGATTTGAGGACAGCAGGTGCGCGTCTGGAGCGAGGAACGGGAAGCACCTTGGCGACACCGAGGGCACCAGCAGTTGTCGCAGGGTACCAGTATCTGAGGACTCGTCCTCCCCAGCTGGAACGGTGCCTTCACTGAATCAAACGTATGTCAGGGCCTAGCAAGACCGGATCGCAGTGAGGTATGTACAGCTAGGCTGCGCATATCCCCGCAATGATCCAGGAGATGTTGACAGAACGCAGCGTACTCCGATGGTGGCTGCACGACCTTATCCTGCGCGAGTTGCATTCTCATCTCCTTAGCTTCGCACGAGGACGCATCTGCGATTTGTAATGTTTGGTAATGAGCAGTGAGTCAGTATTCGGTAGCAGGCAGAGGTCACCAGGGCTGAATTGATATCGATTGACTGTACCGTGCTGCTTGCTGGATTCGACAGACGTGATGTTGTTCAGCCCGCATATCAAGTGTCCGAAGCACCCAAAGTTTATAGCTATAGTTACTATGGTTTTAGGCTCCTTGCCTTCTCCAAGTCGCACAAAATCACCGATTCAATCCGGGCGGCTGCAAGCAAAGGGCTGGCCTGGCTCGTCTGTCGCATCTCTTGGGCCAGGAGTTCCTCGGAATTTGGCTCCGGCTCCGCTCGCGGTTGCAAGACTCCGTCACTGCCTCGGGAGACGTGGAGCAGGCGAGGCGGCAGCTGAAAGGTCTGCGGAACTGAGACCGGGACCAAAGTAAAGCTCAAAGTCTTTTTGCCGCCAGTGGCGCGTCTCGCTTGGCGGGCTCGGGGCTCGGCTTTGAGGAAAGCGTTCTGAGCGCATCTTTTCGAGGCTCTCCTTCTTCAGCGGCCTGCTTCGAGGTTCGAGAGCCTTCCCAGCCAAGGCCCCTGGCATCTTGATCTGCCGGGCTTCTTCCAGCAACCTTGTGGCTGGCGCATCATCCGACCAAGCCGACAGCAAACCGAGGAAGCCGTCCAGGGCTGCGGGACCATCCCGCGCTTTCTCTGGCGTCGCGAGCTGCAGCTCTGAATTTACCAGAGCCGCTTCTGCACGTGCCTCCTCGGGAGGCCTCTTTGATTCCTCCGCGTCCTCCTTCTCACTCCCGTTCTCCTCATCACTTTCTTTCACTTCGAATTTCGAGGCGCTCACAATCGCCGCGGCGTAGGGGCCGAGCTCTGCCTCGACATCCTCTACGTCTCCATAGTCAGCTGCGACTTGCACAGCAGCAGCCCAAACACTCACGAGACCCTGTGCCAGCACTACTTCTCCTAGGGGCCCAGAGCCAGAGTTCGCGTCTGCTTGGCGCACAGCGTCCTCCTCATCTCCTGCTAAGCAGCGTATGGAGCTGCCGCAGGCCCAAGAGTAAGCTTGCAAATCCATTGCTTTCCGAAGGCCAGAATTCAGGCAAAATGACGGTCGCTACAGTGTGGAGATGCTGACTGCGAGCACATGTCTCTAAACCTATCATGACACTGAGCCACTCTAAATCACGATGAGGCGCAGTCCCACGGCACCTGCGTCCACTTCTGTCTCGTTTCGGAGGCTACAAGCAGAAGGTGTCCTTTTGGGCTACCGTGTCGTGGCTGCGCCTGTTCGCATGCGCAGTCGCTTTGTCAAAGAGATGCAGTCGAATCTCAGCTTAAACAGTTCTGGGGCAAACCATGCGCATTGCACGTCAAGAGGCAGCTGAGCGGCAGGAGCCGGAAACGGTCTGTTCTGCACGTTTCGGCAATGACGCTTTCAGCGCTCGCTCTACAGGCCAGAGAACGTGCGGAAACATTGGAATCGCGCGAAACTTCACAGCTCTGGCCGACGCTTGGTGGCGCTATCCCACCTCAGCCAAGCTCCCAGGATGTCACGGCATCTCAGCCTACCACCGAAGACTACAGACAAGGTAAGTTCATGGCATCTTCCATACCGCGTCCTTGCCATAGTGCTCAACCTCTTCGCTACACGTCGGCGCAAATGGCATCAATGCTAACACACAAGATAAAATACTGACAAAAACATTCCATGAGCAGCGAACGAATTGGTCGAATGTGTAGAACTTGCCGTCATTGGCCTTGCGGGTTTCCTCCACCCAACCCAGAACACAGAAACGTCACGAAGGCATGTTCATCAGTCGTGGAAGCAAGGTCCTCCTGTGCGCCCGTCCACTCAGTCAACCAGCCCTCCTTCCAGCAAGCAGGCAGTGATTGCTTACGACGCCTGAGACTTGGCCTGCACAGCTAGCCAGGTCCTCGCCCAAGTAGTCAATGTAGTAGTCCCTGAACTCGCTAGCCTTGTATGCCTGCAGGATTGTCAGTATTATCAAGATTTCTCAGATGCTGTCAAAAACAGAGCGGCGTCCGGACGTCTGAGCCGGAGCCGGGCTGAAGGAAGGTACCCGGCCTTGCCATTTCTGGCGATGCGAGTCTCCTCGTAGGCAGCCGCCTGAGGCCACCATTGGCCAGCTCGCCACGAGACGCCCAAACGAGCCCCGGGCGGCGGCCCACTTCTCCTTTCCATCCTGCATTCAAAACTTCGATGCGCTCGGATTGCTGCATGGTCGGACGGTGTAAGAGCGCTGGTCCTTGGGGTAGAACTTTTTGAAATCCAGCGCATTGTAGAGCTTGCCATCCTTTTCTATGCATCGATCGATTCGCCCTGCTGCCCGGAAGCCGAGCATCCCGCATCGGCACGCCGCCTTTCTGTTCCCCGAGGGTCGCAGTAGACCCAATTGCCTTTGATGGAGTAGTGCCCGCAGCCTGGGAAGCGCCGCACAGCGCCCGGTGGTCCCCTTCTGTTTCTCTGCTTGGCAGTCGGGCCAAACTTCGTACGGCACCAGGGCTTGTCCTGGACACAACTCCACTTCCAAACATCCCCGGCATTCAAAGCGATTTGATGACAGTCCTCGTTGGACATGAAATGAAAGTGATAACCGCAGTTTCCATGGGTGGTCTTGCCTGGTCGAGAAATGCAACGACCATGACTTGTGGAAGGAATGGGGGGGAAAGTACCTCCTGCGCAGCGGCAACCGAGAACCTCCTGGCCGAATTCACCCACCAACTTCTCCTGACCGGATGGTTGTGCACAGAATTAGTTGCACAGAACTAGTGAGACGAAACTTCGTGTTTCGTGGTGTGGCTCCTCTGCGCTGGCCACCAAAGTGGCATAGACCAATGCGAGCAAACTGCTGGACCTCCGCAGCTCTGCATCTCCCCCAAGACAAAGCTCTGATCACAGCCACGGTAATGTCAATCGTTACACCAGCCTCATTCTGAGATTTCTGGAGCGCACATCCGCATGTGCTGCTAGCTTCTCTTTCGGGCCGAAACGCGACGTACCGCTGTGCACTCCAGTGCAAGCAAATGCTTCCTGACGAGACAAGTCGAGCAGTCAGGCAGCACTGCACAGAAATTTACTCTTTTTCTTGATGCTGTTCGCAGACCCTACTTTCAGCACTGGTCCTCTGCTCTTGCATGCCACTGCGTCCTACTTCCAGTCTGTCTGGGCTTCCTTGCCCGACTTGATGCGGAGGCTGTACGTCTTGACCGGACCATGACAAAAAGGCCCGCAACAGCAGCCACAGCACACCAGGCTTGTCATCAACCTGAGCAAGTATGCCGTAAATGGCCGTAGGGGAAGCAAATAGTAGTGTGAAGCATGAGTACTACTCTGTCCACAATTGTCCAAGAGGCATCACAAGCAGCGTTGTCAGCATCAGGTCGTAGACTGGGAATGCCTTGTGGCACCTGTCATGCGATGAACCCAGAACACAGCCGCAGAGCCGGGCCCCACCCTCTTCCCCCCTGGTCCTGTGCTCTGAGTCCAGGAGCAGCCGGCCCATGCATCGGGTGTCCGCCGCTGCAGCGACCGCCTTTCGGCATCTCGAGTCTCTTCGGGGAGTTTCAGAATGCACAACCTGTTCAATCGGCCTGGTGCAGCTTGCCCGCGGAGTTGATGTGGTACGCATCCAACGTCCGGCTCACGTTGTATCTGAGCAGTGCGCTTCCAGCAGCTTGTGCAACTTCTCAACATCGCCCTGCGTTGCCCAGGGCCAAGACCCAGCCAAGCCCTTTGTCCAGAGGTCCTTCGAATCAGGAAGCACGGCTGGCGATGGCACAGCTACACGACGCTTAGCCAGGCCTGTTTCGGCTGCCCTGTCAACATTCGGAATATCAGCAACTCTCCAGCAGCCGCAGAGTTTGCCACGTGCCTCTATCCAAACGATACTTTCGTCACGGCTTGCACCCAAACATCACCATGCATCCAAGCCGCTCGAGACTTGTCAGATGCGTCTGCTGCTGAAGGTTGGTATGCATCTCCTGGCAATCTAGGCACAATGTGGTTTTGCTTCCTCATGAGGAAAGACACCGCTGGTCGGCCTCCTGCTGCATTTGCTCTTCGGCATGATGGTGTTCCAGCTCGAGAAGTCCGACATCGGCTCGCCCCTGAGCAGAGCTCGCGAGCAGAAGGGCCATGCAGCTGCAAAGACTTTCTCTTGAATAGATTGCCTCTCGGGCTGCTCGGACGGCATCAACGAGCGGCAGCAGAAGAATCCATACACCCTGCAAGCAAGTGCGTCTGACGGATACCGACAGCACGCACCCACTTGCAATGAACTGGCAACGTGCTGGCTCGTCAAACAAAGGATGCGCCTTGACAGTCACAAGCGGAGCTAGCACCAACGAATGGAGTCCTCTCACCATGCTCTAGGAGGCAACTGATGAATTGAAACTTGGCGTCACTTAGTCCCTGTTGCTCGTGCCGGGGTAGCATCGAAACTGTCTGTCCCATCATGCTATGGAGAGTTGGGTAGTCAGAGAAGTTGACAAACTACCTCTGAGCCACAACATCGTGGCAGTGACGGAACACTGCATGCCTGCACGGCAATTCATAGTATCAGTTCGCACATGCTTGCACTCAGGAGCCTGGGAAGTCTTTTGTGCCGTGGGCTGAGCATCCAACAATGCTAGCTGGCGACCGTAGCGCATCAGCGAACCATCGAGGATGGCCTGGCGGAAGACTGAGACAGTGGAGACAAGCAGGTCGATCCGAGACTCTAAGCCGCTTCGTGCCTCAACTCGGAGCTGCGGATGTTGGGTGCAGAAGTGCATGAGGGCCGAGAGGCAGGAGAGGCAGGGCGGCTCCGTCACCGAGAGCTTCACGGAGCCCCGCAGTGGGAGGCCGCCGAGGCCGCTGTGCCTTCGGAGCCGCCGGCCCAACACCGCGAGGGCCCGGAACTCGGCACAGGCAGAGCGCTCCACCCGGTCGTGGGCCCGGGCCAGGGCCGCGCCCTGAAGGGAAAGCGCTTGCAAGGACGGCGCCGGCGGCGGCTCTCCGAGCCTGCCGAGCCTGTTCCTCCGTCTGACCTGCCCTTTCAAGCCGCCTGCGTCTTCTGTTGCGTAGTCGATCACGCACAGAACGCTCCCGACACCTCCTTCGTTTCCCGACTGAGGTATGAGCGCCTGTGACTTGGCTATGATGCCGGCTGACAAGAGAAGCTCACAGCTTCCAACAACGCCCAGCGTAATGGCAGGTATTCTGCCAAGAGTGCTAGGCTCCTCCAAATATGCAACAAGTGCCGAGTCCAAGATCTGGCGCATGAACGGCAACAGCGACGGTCGCAACGTTGGAAGAGAGTCCATCAGAACCCCGAGCTCTCGGGCACCTTCGGTGTACATCGGTGTACGATCACTCGTTCAAGGAGACAGAGATTGTGCGAAGCAGTGGACGCCTTACTTAACAAAGCAGAGCGGCCAAGCGTTCCTGCATTGAGGACTACCTGCTTTGAGAAGATCACGAGCAACCGAAGCACCTGAGACTTGGGATTGACAGCTGCAGAATGCAGCGTGCACACACCGGAAACTGAAAACTGATCACCACCGGCACTGGGGCCATAGAATCCAACAACTGTTTGATTGACTTGCATTATCGAGGTCAGAGACGCCCTTCAGAAGCCCTTGAGGCATCTTATGTGCTCACAGGCTGTCTCCGCATGCACTCGTGAAACAGATTGCCACACCCAGCATGTAAACGGCTAAGCCTAAACTCGCTTCTACGAAGCCCAGTGTTCCAAGCTCTATGCGTGCGGAGCCACACTCTGCACTTGCCCGGTCCGTTCGATGAAGACTCTCGGTTTCGAGCCAATCTCATCAGCTTTCGGACCGGGAGAAAAGGCCAAGAACGAATGCGAAGCTACAGGATCAGCGAAAAGCTGCACGAACAGACTCTGTACACAAACACTTGCGCAGCCACCCTAGCAGGAGGTAGCCATGCGACTTTGAATCCTGCTCATGTATGCATTGCTGCTGTGGCCAAACTCGGTGACATTCCGCTGAGCTTTGCTTCGTTGGATATTTCTTGCCGATTGCACCGACTGGCGAATTTCCTCCTTCAGGGCTATGTCCGCAGCCTTTGCACGGTCCATCCTCGCAGTAACCGTCTGCTGCATTGTTTTGTACTCTTGGACGTCTCTGTCTTGATTGTCCCGTCGCCGCTGCACCTCAGAAATCTTGATCTGATGCTGCTTCCGCTGCTCGATGAGAATCGTCTTCTGCCGCTTCTGTGCTTCACGATCCAGGCCTGCCTGCTGCTCAGCCTGTGCCTTGGCCTCCACCATCTCCGCGTTAGCAGCCAGAAATTGCCTCTTTGTAGCAATTTCTTTTAGCTCAAGCTTTAGTCGCTGCTCCTCCTCCTTCTTCTGCCGCTTCTTTAACTGCAGCTTTGCTGCCACGTCTACAATGCACTTTTCTCGATGTCTCTGCTTTTGCTCCTGCTCGAGGATCTTTTGCTGCCGAACCTGTTCGTGCCTCTGCTGCTGCTCGTCCCGCGCGCGCTCACGAACTCTGGCTAACATCTCAGCCTGCGCAGGGAGGGCATGCGAGCACCGGCAATTGCGAGAGATGCCATCATCACGGCCTTTTCGGTCAGCTCCTCTTGCTTCTCATGCTTCTTCGCAAGTTGCCTGCAAGACATGTCACCGGACCACAACACGACATGTGTCGGGAAACTTTTCGGCCTTTCGCGCTTTGCGTCCAGCTCCTTCTCACGTTGAGCTTCGACCTTGCTTAACGCCAGCAGCGACTCGCAGCGCTTTCAGAAATTGTCTCGGCGTGTCTCGGCATCGCACGATTCTCAGTCTTTCCCGTAGCTCGGCCAAGGACATTTCTTCCAGCAAACCCTGGCAGGGGCCACTTGCACTGCTGGCGTCTGGTCGCAACTTGTCAGCTTTCGAGCTTCGCTTGTGCCCTCAGCCCTGAGCCCTTGGCCTGACAGGGTGGCTCCGCTGGATCGAAAGTCCTCAGATGCTCTGAACTTCGGCCAAGCATCCACTTGCTTGGCCAAGATCAGTTGGCAGGGCCGAGCTGCTTAAACTTTTCGACTGGCACCTTCTCGAGTGCGCGAATCTGACGAATCAGATCCTTTTTTCTGTCCATCTCCTTGCATCGAGAACAGCACTCTGTGGACCAAGCGGCCGGCACCAGCCCCACCAAGCCCATGCGAATTACGGGGCTCCTGTTCCTCCTCCTTTTTCTTCCTCTCCATGTCTACCTGAGGTTCATAGAGGTTCAACGTCCACCCAAAACCCCGGATGCAGGCCTCACGTTCCTTGCGCATGTGGTCGGCCTTCTGCAGCCTTTCCTTGGCGCACGGAGAAAGGCGCCGAGGACACCTGGGGCCATTCCCAAACAGCCGCCTTCAGCGCCTCCTGCTCTGCCAGCCGGGCTCTGTCACGGTCCTAGCACCGGGCGGAAGCCGATGAAGCCTTCTGCGACCGCTGCCGCGACTGCTCTCAGCATTTTCTTCGCACGCAGATAAACTAAGTGAATTCAAGTGGACTTGCCTGAACACCTTGGGAGTTCAAGCAGCCTCAGACAGCACGTCGTCGTCTATTCTGCAACTGTACTGCTTCGCTAAGCGAGTCTCAGCAGCCAGTCTTTTCAGAATCCTAGACTCTGCCATTCCAGGGTCTTCCTGTGGCCGGAGGAGCCATGACAAGAACTCTTTCACGTCAACTGACCCATCGCGATTGGCATCACATGCCTCGAACATTTTCATAGCTGAGATTGCTGAGAAAGTTTCATCAACCGCATTGATAAGTTGGCAGAACTCCTTGACCTTCATCCGTCCATCGCCATCTTCATCGTGGCGCGAGAAAAGCATCACCAGCTCTGCTTCGCGCCGAGACTCGGAATCCGGGGAGAGCATGATTGGATCCTCGTCGTACTCTTCCTCTTCATTTGGTGGGGTGCCTGCTTGGACCTTCGCAGCAACAGCCTCTGCAGTTGAGGCAGATGCAGCGGCTGCTGCCGGCATGATGTTATAATCTAGTTGCGCGAGACGGCTCCGGAGCCAGAGCTTGTAGGCCTGCAAAGCCTGCCCAAGCTTTTCTGCGTGAGTCAGCAGCTTTCGATAGCGCTCGATGCACCATCCGCTGATGTCCTCGGGTGCACCTTCATACGTGCTGCTTGCGAGGTTCCACGAGAGCTTGCGCAAACAAACTGGACACAAGTCCACCTTGTCCTGCTTGCTGTCACTCTCATGTAGACCACTGCTGCCCTGCATGCGGCAAACATAAAACTGGCAGTTCCTCATTCCCAGGAAATGGCCCACTTCTTTGGAGAGAAGACCGTGGGCTCGCCGCAGCAATACTTCCAGGTCCCCTTCCCGTCTCTCCTTGGGGTACTCCTCGACCACCTTCATGACCTCAGCTAGAACATTAAGAAAGAGCCAGGCGGCCCCCAAGTCCCCCCTCAGCCTTTCCCCCCTCCCGCAGCTTTCCTACTGTGCTCACACTGAGCTCACAGCATCGAAGTCCATTCGGCAACTCACTCGATACCAAGCTGGGTCCATCCGGCAGAACGAGAAGATGCCAGCACGGTCGCGGGCTGATATGCTACTCAGAACGAATGTCTGAGTGCTGTCAAACAAGTCTACCATTGTGATGCCCAGAATACAGAAGCCATCCGCAGGAAGGCGAATGCGAAGCTGCCTCAAGCTGTCCTTCGCGTGGTACTGAACATCGTTACCATGGCCATTGCCGCGCACGGCGATGCCCTTGCCACTCAGCATTGGATCGTGGTGCAGAATTTTACATGGCAATCCAAACCAGGCCTCCAGAAAGCTCTGAAAGATCCGCAAGTCAGGCAGACTTCCGACGGAGGAGCCACCGGGTTCCGTCAGGGGAAGCAGATAGATCGTATGATGTGTTCTGGAGGGCAGAGGTGGCTGCTCAAGCACGTACTCCTTGAATGTCTGTGGCTTCTCCTTCGAGTCGAACATCCAAGTGTCGGGGATTGCAGGCAAAGGTGGCAAAAAGAGCGGACTGAGTGGCTGAAGTATCCGTTGGAGCTTGTTCATCTCGACGGGACTGCTCTGCCTGTCTGGATACATTTCGTGCATCTGGATTGGGACCGATTTGCCCTCAGACATTAGCCGCACCGCGTCCTCATCGTGCTGCAAGCCTATCGCTTCAAGCTGAGCTTCTGGTGGCGGCGGCACCCATGATCCAGGTTCATCACGCGGAAGGTTCCTCCACTTGTCCAAGGCGGATGCTGTCCTGCCGACCCTTGTCGCTCCCTTAGTCACCGGTGGCATCGGCGACACCGGCCTCGAGCTAACAGACTTCGAGGGCCTGCGAATGCGCCCCATCTCCAGAGAGCCCGTTCCGGGCCCAGGCAGAGACTGGGAGGTTGTTGGCAATTGTGGTGCGGGCGACTGGCTCCTGGCCCTTCGACCCGACGGCCCACTTGGTGCCCCGGTCCCGGTACTCTGCGTGCCACATGGCGGCAGAGAAGGCAAACTAGGCCTCTCCTTGCTCGACCGACGGGACAATCTCATTTTGTGACCCGCATCTACCCTTACCTTCCGCTTCCAGCCGAGAAGTCCGGCAATCAGAAGGCAATCCGCACGTCACCTCAAGTTTCGTCATACCCATCCAATCTTGTCTATATGTGGGGCACACTAACCTTCCCAGCTAAGTTCTCTAGCCGTCCATAACATGATGCAAGAGATCTCCTCCTTAGTCTCCTCGACCAACTGCTTTTTCTCGCCCATCTCGTGCTCTCGCATTCGCTCCTCAAGCATGCATCAACAGGATTGGCTCTTTGGGCTCTCCTCTCGCAGAGTCGCGTGGAGTCGTGATAGCTATGACAGTCCTGCATATCGAACTCCACCTGCAACTCCTGCCCATTGTTGAGTTTGCTGGCGCGGTGGGTGAATCATCCTGTCCTCCCGCTGGTGTTCCGCCAGGATGTGCTTCTTGCGAACTGCAGAATCGAAGGCTTCCATGGCGACCTCGCGCGAGAGCTGCATCCTGAGTTCATGCAAGGTGTTGACTATAGGCCACTGTCTCCATAGATTTGAAGCATCACGTCTCCCCTGGCCCGGCGAAATGTACCAAGCTTTCTTGGTGGTGCGTGTGATCACTGTGCAATCTGTGTACTCATGACGGTGCCACAGCATGGGGGCACACCATCCGCCGGAACAAGACAATGGCTTTTGCTGTCACTTCACAACCCCGGGTTCAAGATCCCGTTCTACGGTTTCCGCAGCTCTCAGACTCCCAGCCGGCCGGTGCTTCGGTCGGAAGGAATCTGACTCAGCCTTTCCACAAACTACCGTTTCAGTCGATCTGCATCCGACTCAGACAAGAGGCAGCTGCCGACAACAAGCTTGTCGGCCGAGTCTCTCTTTCTTCGCTCTCTTCGGTCATTCTTCGGTGCTATATAGCACTCAAGGAAGCATTTCTGGCAGCTCCAGATCTCGGAGCTTGCGTTTAAATCGCACCTACGCCCCACCCTCTCCACCATATGCGACTTCCACAGCTTACCCGCGAAGGACCGGGGGTTTCTTCTGAGCTCCTGGCTCCACGATGCGCTGGCGCACACGCATCTCTTCTTCGTTGTGATCCTTCGCACAACGACGCGGCTCGATGCTCCGCAGACCAAAACTGGGCAGTCTCCGAGCATCTGGCCTTCTCCTTCATTTTCTCTTGCCAGGTGTAGAACTGCGAGGCATCATGCAAGTCCTCCTCATAGCGCTTGAGGGCCTGGTACTCCTTCGCAGGTGCTTTGCATCCTCGGAGCCCTTGAAGCCCATTAATCATGAATTCCATGCCCTGAAATGAGGGGGCCTCTGCCCTTTCTAAGGCTCGGCCGCTTCTGAATCCCTCCGCTCCTTGGCCTGCTTCTGCTTAACCAAGGCATCCTCTCGCAGCACAGACGCCACATTGTGCCTTGCGACAGTAGATTGATGCAGAATGTAACTCATAACCAACACGTGGCGAAAAGACTTTCCAGCATCCAAGTCAGAGGGATAAGGGCAAAACACTGAAAAACAGCTTTGATGCTAACTGTTGCAAATACTCTGCCTGACCGTGGCATTGTCGGCAATGGCGACGGCTTTCCTCGGATCCACATGCATGCACGCCTCCCACATGAAAACTTGATAGGGGGTCGCGCACCCGAACTCCGAATGGATTTGTGTGTGTGTCGGCTCCCCCTAAGCCTTCATTCCGGCACCCGCGCGACACTTGCAAGCGCGGGCATGCGCGCGCTTTCAGGCCCTTGTGGAAACACTGCGGCGATTTCGCGTCAACTGCCTGACCCCAGACCTCCACTCTTGGAAGCGAGAACCCTTCTGCAGCGTGCGATCGGGAAGACCGAACACAATCAAACATTCGCCACGAATACTCCAAACATCTCTATGCACAAGCGGTTTCTGGCTTGGAACACCGATGCTGTCAAGTCTCTTCTCCGTTTTGG